AAGAGCACGCAGACCCAGAATGATTACGCGACCTTTGAGAAGAAAAGATAGTAGCTTAACGATTGATGGATTGAGGAGTTTAGGATTGGGAGTTTGAGAAACTTCCCAACAGTTAGTTCATGTAATCGAGATGGTTAGTAGCTAGTTGGGAATTCAGTGTTGGAGGACCACCTATAGGACTCTAGTGAGTCGGAATGAGGATCTTGAGAATGGTTAGCAGGAGATGCTTTCGTGTTAGTAGTCAGTGGCAGAGACAACCTGCAGAGCATGGTAGAGCGGAGGGAAAGCCGCAACATTTTTCCAGTAGCAGCCAGTTAGTAAGGAAAATGTTGTAAGTCTGTGGGGGTAGCCAAAGCATTCACTAGCAGTCAGATAATAGTAGAGTATAGTAAGTCTATGGGGGTAGTCGTAGCATTCACTAGCAGTCAGATAGTAGTAGAGTGTTGTAAGTCTGCGGGGGTAGCCGTAGCATTCACTAGAAGCCAAATAGTATTAGAGAGTTGTAAGTTTGCGGGTGTAGCTGTAGCATTTATCAGGTTGGTGGGCAGCATGAATGCATTGTTTGGACACGGGGGAAGCAGTAGTACCCACCAGTTCGGGTGCAATAGTAAGGATATGCAAATCCACGGGTAAGAATTCGGATCTCCCAAATGGTTCAGTTATGATTAAGTTGATGATTCAACAATTGGATCGTCTCCACAGTTACGAGATCATGGAAGCAGTGGACCGCTTGGGTTCGGGTATGTTAAGGGCTACCGTTAGTCTGGGAGGTTGTTAGAGCCACAATAAGAAGATAACTGGTGGCAACTAGTTCCAGTGGAGGATTTTGTTTGGAAATCGTGTGAACGACTAAGCAAGGAGTCCTTGGACTCCACCGTTGAGTTGGAAATCGGTGTTGCAGATAACCAATGAATGATTGGAGACCAAGACAGTCTCAGGATATTTTGGGAAGCAGCCATCAGGCAGTTCAGTATTTCGGATAGTTTCAGTGTTATGGTCAGTATTAGTCTTGCGATGGGGTGTAGTGACTGGTGGGAGTCCGGTAACCCAGATATTGGCATGTTAGATTGGACCATGGTAGTCTCAGTTCATCCGGTAGGCGGATGAGGGGCAACGAAATTTTCAGTCAGAGATAGTAACGATAAGGGAAGTATGGTAAGAGGCAGCAAGTTGAGAGAGGGTGCTACGCCTCTCACAGAGGGTTGGATAATCTTAGAGGGGAGGGTTTGACCTTGTTGCGCAACTCTCGTATGAGTCTTAACCGTTGTAGAGATGAATCTTTCACTCGAAGGATTATCTGATCCATTCGCTGGGACGGGTACTCAGTACTAAGTTATGGAAATAAGAAGCATTCAGTATGTACCAGCAGTAGTGACGAGCACTAAGAATGGCTGGAGTGATGGACATCGTGAAGGGTATGATCTTCACAGTGACAAAGGAGGTGAATAGCTATAGAAGGCAGCCTCGGGAAGGCTAGAGAACGCATGAGGAAAATAGAGTATACCCCAAGAATGTTTAGCCTAAGTACTCAGGGAGTACCAGAAGGATTGTCAGTTAAACAGGAGGTGCTCTCAGGAAGGTTGAGGATTAGATTGTACTTGGGGATTTTAACTGCAAGAATTAGGCCATCTAGAATAATCGGGCAGAAGGTAAAAAGGGTTAGAGTCACCAGGCAGGGTGTCGGAGGCGAATTGCAGGCCAGTTGGACATAGCGAACTTCGAGGCGAAGTTTAGTTTAAGTGGGGGAGAGTTCTAACACCCGAAATCAGAAAGGCCAAGAAAAGAAAGAAAAACCATAAGTTTAATGGGACGACTCGTCGAATCCAAGGAAGAAATCGATGAGTCGGATTGGGTTCCGTGTCGCAGATTAAGTGACCGACTCGACGAGTTGGGGTTTGGACTCGGCGAGTCTGGTCTAGGTTGGGAAACCCTAATTCTGGGACTTAGTATCCTATTTAAGCATCTTATTCTCTTTTCTAGGGCTCATTTGTGGCCTCTATAGTCCAGAACCCCAAACCCTAGCCACCATAACCGTTTTTGGAGTAAGATCTACCCTTGGTGAAGTAGTTTGAAAGCTTTGAAGAGAAGAGATTCATAGTGGTGCAAGAGGAGGCCTTGGATCCAGAGTTGGTGGAACTTTTTAGAGCATTTGGAGGTAATGAATCGTTATCCTTGGCTTTCTCCTTTCTAGATCCATCTTTCATGGAGTTTTAGGGCTTCTTTGAGAGTATGTGATGGGAAATCGGTGCACAAGTTAGATCTAAAGTTGAAACTCCAGATCTGAGTTCTATTTGGATCAAAGATGCAGAAAGCCCTGTTAGTTGCTATGCAATTCCCCATGAGTTAAGTTCCTTTCTAGCTTGGTTTTTAGTATTGTGAGACAAGAAGCACGTAAAGTTAGCAACTATATGTTGCTAATGGACTGTAGGAACCCAAATCTATTGTTTGGAGCAAAGGAGTAGCTCTATGACTCGAGATTATGAGATTACACGTAAGGACTCGGGGAGTCTGGGAGAGGACTCGGCGAGTCGGGCTAGATACCGGAACTAAATCGTGTAGTAACTCAGCGAGTCACATGGGTGGACTCGGCGAGTTGGATGAAGATAGGTAGGAACTCGACGAGTTGGAAGAACAACTCGGCAAGTCTGTTAAAGATTTCCTTAGACTCGGCGAGTCTGTTCTTGGACTCGGCGAGTCAGGTCGCGAAACCCCAAAACCTTCTAGCGAAGACTCGGATTAGTGAGTTGAGTGGAGACTCGGTGAGTTGAGCAGGACAGAACTCGGAAATCAGTAGACTCGGCGAGTCATGGTCTGACTCGGCGAGTCGAGTCGCGAATGAAAGGGATTTCTGAGCTTATGAACTCGGCGAGTCAGCAGGCTGACTCGGCGAGTAGGGTCAACCTGGAAGGTTGATATTGACCAGGACTTTGACTTTGACTAGATTTAACTTAGTTTGACTAATTGAAAGGCAGTTTGGAACTAAGTGTTATATTTGGTATTAGTAGATCGAGGAGTTTTGGGGGCAGCAGTTCGAGAGTTAGTTGATAGCAGTCAGAAGGGTATCAGCAAGAACTTTAGTGGTGTAGGTGAGTTTCCCTCCAGTAGGAACGGGTCTAAGGCCACAATGTCGACCCGTTTAGCTAGCAGTAGTTTCCAGACTTTGGTCCGATGCAGTAGTTAGTATGTTTGATGCCTTCGTGGCTCAGACAGGATTTATGTGTTATAAGTTTCGGGCTAAGGCCCGATGCAGTATGGAGTATATGTGTTCATGCTAGTTGATATGTTTATGTTATGCTATGTTCAGTTAATTCCGGACTTCGGTCCGATGCAGTTAGTCCGGACTTCGGTCCGATGCAGGGGACAAGGTTCCAGTCAGTTTTCGGACTTCGGTCCGATGCAGGGGCAAGGCCCCAGTTAGTCCGGAGTTCGGTCCGATACATGGGACAAGGTCCCAGTCAGTTTCCGGACTTCGGTCTGATGCAGGGGGCAAGGCCCTAGTTAGTCCAAACTTCGGTCCGATACAGGGGGCAAGGTCCCAGTCAATTTCCGGACTTCGGTCCGATGTAGGGGCAAGGCCCCAGTTAGCCCGGACTTCAGTCCGATGTAGGGGACAAGGTTCCAGCCAGTTCCGGACTTCGATCCGATGCAGGGGGCAAGGCCCCAGTTAGTCTGGACCTAGGTCCGATGCAGGGGGCAAGGCCTAGTATGTGTTTTATATGTTATTGTCTGGTATGTGGTAGTTTGGGGGAGCTCACTAAGATTCTTGTTACGGTTTCAGTTTTTAGTTTCAAGTACTCAGTTTTCAAAAGAGGAGCTCGGAGAGGTTACAGTACACACACCATAGTCAGTTAGCTTGGAAATGTTTACTCTGATAATAAGATTATGTTTTGGATTAATAATTGGAAATTATGTTATGACTTATGATGTGGTTTTTATAAATATGATTTTAGTAATGTTTTTAAAAGAAATTTTTAATCGTGATTTTTAGGTCGTTACAAAATATCTGATAAGAAACATGATTTAATCTGGTAATTTTTCTAAATTGATCTGTTGGATTTGTATCTTTTTAGCTTTACACAATTAGTCTTTCTTTAAGATTGTGATGATAAAACTGACAACACATAAGTTTAAGTTTTCACTTTGAGATTTCACATAAGTTTAAGTTTTCACTTTGAGATTTCATAAGCAAACTAGCATTCATATGATATTTTCTTTACTATGTTGAGAGTTGGTAATATTGCAACATGAGTCTCATTTGTTTTTTATTTGGAACCTAATGAAGCGGTTAAGCCTCTATCCATAATAGTGGACATAAAAGCTCTCGATCCGAAGAAAATGTTCGATTAAAATATTCAAAACAATATAGGTGCTTTCATGACTCGGGCCATGATCATAAGTAGGTTGTGGCATAAAAAAAAAAAAAAAAAAAAAAAAAAAAAAAAAAAAAGGAGAAACATATGGATTAGGATATGTTGTTTGTTAAACTTTGTATATTTGTTTTTAACTTGTGGTACTTATTATATTTAATTTATGATGGGAATAATATATTTGCATCAAGTTACAAAATCACTAGATTGGGTATTTTTATTTGTTATTACAATTATAAAATCAAAAATACTGTAGCGATGTAATTCCATTTTTCGCCTCATAGGTGCTCTACAACATTATATCGTTTAATTAAGAGGTAAAATCGTTTAATTAAGAGTTTTGTAGTGATGCTTTTTAGCATTTCAAATAATGTTTCGGTAATCTCCTTCGTATTTCAAAGATGTTCTTCATATTTTAGATTACCCAATATGAAAAAAAGACAATCTTATTTAACTCGTTTTTCTTTCATTTTTTATACAAAGAACGAACTAAAAAAGTCGTCACTAACAACGAAAGAAACTAAAAAAAATCGACATATCAATGGTTATGTTTTCCTTGTACTCGATCCTTAGACCTTAGTGCACTTGTTAGGCACATAACACTACAATTTAAGGTGAAATTTTCTACCAATTGTTCCATAACTTAGATTAAAAAATATCACTCAATTCAATAAATTTATTAATGTTCAAAGATCGAGTCATATGAACATTATTCAACCTTCAATTTTAAATGGGTTCCAATACTTATATTCATTGGCCTAACATTATTCAAACTTCTATTCATTTGTCAAGTCTACCAAAGAAGTTAGTTTGATCACATTCAAAGTAAAACATTAATCCAAGACATAACAAACTGAAAAAACAATCTAAAAAAAAAAAACAGTAACCAGATTAATCAAAGTGAACCTATTGAGTTGAATCTTCATGAAATCGAGCATCAAAAGGGGCAGAATTATGTTGCGGAATCCCTAAATTGCCCCCGGATCCTGAACCTTGTTGAAGCTCAATCACAAGCCATCTGACAGCTTTACTCATCTGCTCCAACCGGACAGCGCTAATAGGTGGCAGTCCAGGTGTCACAGGCTGACCTGGCTTTCCAGCGACTGAACCAGTGGCTTCATCCACTAAGCATTCAGACCCGATTCTCAGTTTCACAGACTCCACAAACTCCTCAGCTTGATCACATGCCACCCTGAACAATTCCCACCTCTGTTTGAGGTTTTCTAGGGCGGCATCAGTGGCGGCGGTTACCTGGCCACCTGCAGCATCCTTGGTTTCAAGGGTGTTTGCTATTGCGCTCACGAATTCTAGATAAGCACTGTTCAAAGCATCGACGATGTTGTCCATTGATTGAATTTTGCTGCAACAGAAAGAAAAGTTTAGAGATTGAATGGGGAAATGGACGTATTATATGGCTTGAATACTTCATTTCGTCGTGATAGTTATCCCCCTTTTCAGAAATTTGTTCGATTCAATGAGAAGTATTCTAAATTCGACTGAAATCCCACGAATCAAAAGGTGGCATATGTTTCAAGAATCATCCTTCGCAAAAATTGAGATCGGTTCCCTCTCAAGTTAGACTAAAACTAGGTAGGAACTGGAGTACTAAGAGAAATAATTCATATTGCTTCGAATTTGGAAGCAATTTACAGAAACAAAGGGATTACAATTGAGAGGTATAATGAAAAGTAGGAGCCGTGTTAAGAAACAAAAACGTAGATGAACAGAAAGAAAACGCACCTTGTTAAGAAATACAGAATTGGGAGAATCAACTGTAGGGATTACAGAAATGGATCGATGGAGATGAGTATATGATGATGGAATTAGCTCGGAACACCAGAAATTTTGAGCGACGTAGAAGTTTGAATGCTTTCTTGCCTGGTTCTACACCTAGGTCATTCAATCGGACCGAAGGAACTCCGAACTCCACCCACGATAAAACGGGTCCTGTTTCGGATAAATGCTAGAAATAGTTTTGTTAAAAGGAATATTTTATTTTGGGTATGTTCAAATCAGAATTTTATAAGTTTTTTTTTTCTTTTTATCATTGTTGTTTGTTATTATAGGCTTTATCCTAATACTATTTTTAGGTATTTTAAAATCAGAATTTTATAAGCTTTTTTTTTTTTATTTTTTTTTTTATTTTTTATCATTGTTATTTGTTATCATAGATTTCAAATTAACATAAAATAAAATTCGTTAAAAACCTTTAATTTTATAAACTTTTTATCTTTTACTTTAAGTACATCATTTCTATCATTTCTGTTAATTAAATTTTAATCAATATATATTCTATCTTTTTTTTATTAAAGTAATATTGTTAATTATTTTATCATAAACTTACAACAAAATAAAATATTCATATGCAATGAATTTGCATTGATTATTAATTTATTAAAAAATAATTATTAAATAAATAAGATTATATTTATAAGACATTTATACATAAATATTATATATTATACATGCATTTGAAAAAAAAACAATATATATATATATATATATATATATATATATATATATATATATATATATATATATATATGTATGTATGTATATATTCGAATAAATTTCTCATAAATGATCAAGTAACGTATTTTCTATGATGAAGTGAATTTCTTTATTTCTAATATGTTATATCGAGCTAGAAATTATTGAAATTGACGGTCTTAATTCGTCACCATTTCGACCTTTATCGGTGACACTTCAATTGGTGCATCTAACGAGTTTTATTGGTTACAAAAACTATGTGCTCGCGGAATTTCACTTAACACTAAAGGGCATATGCAACCTAAATGATCTATGTCTTAACACTTTAAATGTAACATACAATGAACAACAAAACTATCATGAACCTTAATTGAAACCTTAGTATAATCAAAATACAAGAATTATGGTTACATACCCTTGATTTGTAGTGATAAGCAAACTTCAATCCCTTGTGATTGTTGGTCTTGGAAAGCTAGCACCAACATGATGATGTGATAAGCAAACTTCAATCCCTTGTGATTGTTGGTCTTGGAAAGCTAACATCAACATGATGATGTCTTTAATCACTCACTTCCAAAACCAAAAACTATAGAATGAGGAAGGGAAAGAATATATGAGGGAATCTCTTTCATAAGCATATAGGTAATCTCATAAATGAAATTTTCAAGTCCAGAGGTTCTATTTATAGTTTAGGTAACTAGCAAGAAAAGCAAGATTTAAAATGATTAGGTAATAGATTTAATTATAAATCAAATCATTTCCTTTTATGCAACCAGGAGACTTCCAAACCTAAAAGAGCTCCCAAATTAATTTTAGATTAATTCTAACTGATTAGACATTATTTTACTAATCATATAAATTAACAAATCAATTATTTAACAATTGGTCTTACATTAATTTATTAATCACAAATTAAATCAACAAATCAGTTGTCTATTTCCAATTAATATATTAACTACATAATATATTAACAAACCATTTATTACAATTTATTAATCATATAATAAACTAATAAATTTATATTCTCTCTACAAATGTAATTCTAACCAAGTTCTAGTTATGAGGGCAACCCAAAAAGGATTGCTTCTAATTACAAGCTTATATCAATTTAGTTATGAACTTAGACATCTTAATCTAATAGTCTTCCACTTGGATAAGTCTATAACTATAATTGCATGTATAAACTTGAACTAAACAGCAAATAGTGCTTTTCAAAGCGATTTCCGAACTCTTATTCAAATAAAACGTTAGCCCTAAGATAATTGATCAACTATTCCTTAGTTCTACAAGATATCGTATGAATAGAGCCATGGATTAAATGATCAATCTCGTGTTCTATTTCCGGATTTCCCGATTTGTGATCAAACTCAAACTACAAAATTAAACACCAAAACCCAGTCCAGACCAGGCATGGTTCTTATAGATCAACTCAAATCATCGAGGGGCTCAAAAATATCGTTTTTTTGTTAAGAAAAAAGGAACGAATAAACTTTGACTATATAATGATACATTTTACTCACCAAATCATGCATAGAATTACACATTATAACACCTAGTTACGAGATGCATTGGAGTAAACCAATGCACAATTGATTTGCAAAATATGACTTATATATCTCTGTTTGAAGAATAGAAGATATTATCGTCTTAGAATTACTTGTGATAAAATACATGAAGTAATATCAAAGAGTGGGTTTATCAAATACTTAAAGTCCTTATTTTCAAAGTACTCATGAATATTGTGGCAAGCCCATGCAATGTTCAATCTTTGTGGAAAATATACAATCGATTCATAACAGTCTTAATTCACTGCTTACTTCCAACGCTATGAACGACTGTAGAATTCTGAATAATAATTAAATTACTTAGGAAAGTCAACATGCAAAGTGAAACACAACGATAAATTAATTAACCATCGTATCATACCCATTGAATATAAATAAATCCCTATTATTTAATCACCCTAACAATTACAAATTTATTTATTGTATATTTTTTTGAGTAATCAACTAACCACTTGAATTAAATAACATCATTCATGCCATGTTATAAATATGCATATTATGCCTCTTAACAGTCCTTCCTTTGTGAATAGATCGACTGGACATTACTCTAATGATACTCATTCCAAATTATTATCGTTATCTAAGATGTAATAGAATTTCATATTTACATGCATTCACATTTTGTGACGTCAAGGTTCTAAAGTCACAGAGACTGAGCCTTCAATATTAGTGAATGTTCCACTAGAACTTATTACTCGAAACGATTCCATGGTTATGAAGTCTCAAAATCAAGGTACACTCCTTGAACACTTCTCTTGCATTAAAGTTTTCAACTCACGTATAGATTATACAAACATCTCCTATTATGTAAACATTACCATATTCCCATATGATCATCTGTTCTGACTAAGATTCATCTCAATCCGAAACATGTTACTATGGTCCGTCCTAATAATATCATACTCCCAATTATCCACAAGCAACTAGTCTTTGGTAAACCTCAAATGTTCTTGATAGTTGTTATAACAACTTTAGTCACAAAAATTCTAATCCTTGTCACACAATGCTAAAGACATTTGAAATTTTAGAATAAGCAAATATTACATCAGATGTGATCGATCCTATATCCGAAGCATATGGGACTAGATTCATTATGTCATACATAAAGACTTGATATTTGTTCAATCTCTTACTATAATAATTCCATATATTGAATATATTATGCTGAAACATTTCACCATTATATTCATATATATCTTTGACTAATTTCTATTAAACCATACAATCTAAAACTTTAGGATTGAAATGAAGTATGAGTGTGTAATGTCTCAAAAATTAAGATCAAAAATTTTCATTTTTAAATTAATAAAACTATTATCCAAAACATCATCATAAATATCACAGTGAAACAGAGTGTATCGACTACATCACAAAACATCAGAGTAACAAACAAATGCGGAACGAGGTGGTGTGTGCACTACAATCATCCTCGGCTCTTTCCCTTCGGACCAAAAGTACCTGAAAACATAAACTGGAAACCATAAGCACAAAGCTTAGTAAGTTCCCCAAACTACTACATAACATACAAAATAAAACATATAATGGGCCCTGCCAGGCATCGAGCCCCGCTCAGTATACAAATCTGTCGATCATCAGGTCTTGCCCGGCATCGGGCCTCGCCTGATATACATATAAACATATAAAAATATAAAAACATCACACATGCAATAATCACAAGATAAATAGCATATAGAATGGTCATTAGGCCCTGCCCAGTAAATATAAAAGCCCATAATACATGCAAGAGTCACGCAAACATCTAGTGTCCTAAACATAACAAATCATAGGCCAGCATTAGTGCCTTTGATCCTCTAAACACAGTGAGGAAACTCACCTCTAGCTACTGAACCACTCAAACGAATCTCTGTCTACTGGTCCGAAAAATCCCGACGCTATCATCATCAAAATAATATCCAATTATTAATTGGATCTCGAACCATAACCAAGAATGTAGGGTACTTAGCCCATAAACAAGGTAAAAGACTTTTACCCTTTTTCTTACTTGGCCCATAATCCAAGGCCCAACCCAACTACTCAAATGCCCAAATCCTAAATGGCAACCCAAAGCCTAATTATGGCCCAATCTTCCAAACTGGGCCCAAAACCCATCATGAGCCTAAATCCAAGGAAGCCTAAAATACTAGTCAAAAGCCCAAATCATAAGTATAATGGCCCTACAAGGCCCAAACTTAGAAAGCCTAAACTATAGCCCAACCGAGAATGCCAAGCCCAAATGCTTTTCTGCTGAGTTCGCGGGGTGAACTCAACTTGTACGCCCAACAGACTCCCCTGACCACTAGTCCTCTTCATTAAGAACTTAAATAGTTAAGATACTTTGCCAAACTCTCAGATCTGGTTCCTAAGGGTGACTTATCACGTAAAGTTGGCAACTTTACACTCATGCATGGCTTAATGGGACTTAAAGCTCAAAAATAATCTTAATAAAGATCTTAATGCTTGCATGGACCAATATCCTCCATAAATTTTGCATTTTTATGAAAATGGGGCCTACATTGAGCTAAGATGTAGCATCAATTGCTTCTGGAGTTGATCAAAAGCTCAACTTTAACTCAAAAGTGTATAAATAACACCATAAACTAGATCTAGCACAAAATACCATCAAGGTGAGAGCTTTATACCTCAAATAGATTGAAATGACAATGATGAAGTTGGATCTACAAGCCCAAGGTAATCCTAAGCAACCACCAAGAGTTTTTTTTCTTCTTCTTATTTCACTAAAAAAACCACTAAAATCTCACTTACAAGCTCAAAAACTCACAAGAGGCACTAAGGGTTTCGATTGTCAGGGCATAAGATGATGGAGGCTGATCATAAGGGTGTCCAATGGTGAGAAAAGTTGTTTAAATAGGATGCAAACCCTAAAAATTAGGGTTCTCCCCAGCCTTGCGTACGCCATGCGTACTCTACATATGCCACGTGTACTGTGATGAGTCCCATGATCCATAAATGGCTAGTACGCTAAGCGTACTCCTAGAGTATGCCCCGTGTACTAGCTAGGGGACCAAAATGTAAAGTTTTGATTTAAACTATGATGTGCGTAAACTCATTTAGTTTTAATCCTACTTTTAGTTGTAAAATAAACACACAAAGGCAGTGTACCTATCAATTGTGGAATAGTTTAAGCAAGTAGGGTATCGAACACAGGGAACGGCAAATTAAAAATAAAAACTAATTCTATCTAAATTAATTAATAAGTAGATGGTTTTCTCTAGTTTTACAAGACTAGAAACTTACTAACTATTACTTAATCTAAAAACTAGAAAAACAGAGAATTAACTAGATTCAATAATGCGAAGGAACTTCTGTTTAGTTCAACTCAACTGATCCTATGGTTGATTTCAAGGTAATAGTGCAATGGATTAATTCTTTTATTGGTTACCGATTCAAGTGATTAGGTTCGCGTTCACTACACTAATCCTTAGCAAATAAACTAACTTAAACAGTGATCAGTTGTCTAATTCAATTTAGTTCACTAGATTAATTATTCGGATTACTTTAGACTCACAATAGTTAATTAATTTGGTTTTAATTAACTTATTGTTGATGGTCATCACACAAGCTTGCACATAAATTTACTTAATTTTCATATTAATCCTAGTTTCATGTTCATTAATCCTAGACGTATAGCAAAGTAGTCACAAGATATATGAGGTTGATAATCAAATGATGTTCATGCTATTTAATTATCTTCCTATTAATAGAAAATTAATTATCATTCACACACAAGGTTCTTTAGCAAGCTAAAATAATAAATAAATCACCAACATTGAATTAATCCTACCAATAATCAAACCATAGTCTCAATTTTGTATCCCCAAACAGAAGTTTAAGAGTTTTAGCTCATGATTGGAGTAAATGACAGCACAAAAACGAATTCTAATTGTCTAACCATAATGGAA